CATTTTAAAATGGGGAAACTGAGGTATAGAAAGGCTAAGTTACTGACCCAAGGCCACACCGGAGGTTTGAGGGAAGGCTGGGATTATATTTGGTATAAACCCTGTGTTCTAATCACATGACTGGTTGGGGTTTTTTTTTCATAATTTTTGTCCAGAGGAAGTCTGATTTCTCTGATCAGTGAGTCATCCTTGTATATGTAAAAAGTATCAAGTCATTTTAATCCAAGAAACATTCTTGTCTACAGTGGTGGCGATTCAAATGAGATCAGCAGAGGAAATTGTGTTCAACTGAAGGATAGAAAAGAACCATGTAAACATTATAACAGGCTGTTGATAATTGAATATCTGGGTATCTAACTTGTTCAGGTGTTGGTAGCTCCTTGGATTGCCAAACAGGTGTAACGTGGGAACATATTTATGTCTATTTAATGGGGCAGAAAACAAGCAATTATTTTAGCCTATACTGACCGAGTGGCTTAAAAACACCTGACATTTATTTTGATTAAGAAACCCAATCTGCTTTTTTGCTTGTGGTTTAAGCCTGTAACACTTTAAATACCCAAGATGACATATTTCCTTAAACCGTGTAAATATATACAGTACATTTAGAACATTTTAATGACTGTGGTGAAACCTGTGCTAACAGACACCTGCCAAGTGCTGTCACCTTTCCCAGTGACCAGGGTAATCTGTAGAGATGATGGAGTTGTATATAATTTCTCAATATTTTTAATACATTATTTGATTGTTTTGTTATTCACCCAGAACACCAGGATGGGCTACTCATTCACAATTATATACCCAGTTTGTAAAACGATTCAAATAAAAATATTTACAGTATTTTTTACATTATTTGCCAAACTGTAGCAAAAGTTTTTAGAAGAGTTTCCTATATTTGTTACTTATAGCTAGGATTTTCAAAGGGGCCTCAGGGAGTTAGGCACCCGAGTTCTGTTGACAGTCAATGGGTGTTAGGTGCCTGTGATTCTAAGGGGTACGTCTATACTAAAGCCACTACAGCGGTACAGCTACGGCACTGCAGTTTTGCCTCTGTAGTGTAAACTGTTCCTACACTGGCGGAATCTAGCTTTCTGAGAGTTGGTAGCTAGGTTGATGAAAAAATTTTTCCATTGACCTAGCCCTGTCTACACAGGGAACTAGGCTGACCTAGCTACAGTGCTCAGGGTGTGACATTTTTCTCAGCTCAGAGAAAATCGATCTAGCTCAATCGATCAGTTTAGAGATGTAGACCAGGCCTTTGCCTACATCTCAGTTTACACAGCTGTGATTCAACCAACTGCTATAAGACCAAGAAATATAGCTCCTTGGTGGCTGCAATTTGCATGTGGGACTTTCTGAAGCACTCAGCATTGTCCTATGTCAGCTCCAATTGCAGTCGGTGGGGCTAACTGCAGTGGGAGCAGAGTTAGGCCAGAACTTTTCAAACGCTCACCCTGCAGGTTTCACCATCTGTGCAGCTGAGTGAGAAAAAGACGTATGGCCCAAAAGTTTTATCACCTGCTCCCATGAGGGTTGGGACCATGTCTGTGTCTCTGCTGCACAATGCCTAGCATACTGATGGTGCGCCGTAAAGTCATAGAGAGGCTCAAATACTCTGTGGTTGGTAACCAAGAAGGACTGAATACAAATCTATCCTAATCCTGGGCTTCTGTGTTAGCAGGGTATGTTAATTTATTCCTTAAATTAAAAAATAAACTAGCATGGAACCAAAATCACAGTTTAAGGCCCTCTTGGTGCTTCAGGTCGCTATTAAATCATTCATTTTTAACTGTGGAAGGTGAAGCTGCTGGTTTTGTTGGAGATTTAAGAAACTGCATATTCAGATCTACTAGTGTTTTGCTGCCGTGCCTTTAAAGTCCCCCGGGAAACTAAACTTAATGCACCTTGCATGTGTATAGTGCATCTTTTGAGAGTTTCTGCTTGTAGCTGGAATAACATCCAAAAGCACGTGCTTCCCAGCGCAGGTAGACAGACACGCACTAGCTCTGCTCAAGCTAGTGTGATTAAAATAGCAGTGTGGCCACGGGGGCGCAGGTGGTGGCTTGGGCTGGTCACGTGAGTATGTACCCTGGGGTCAGGCAGGTTTGTCCTTGGGTGACTAGCCCAACCTGCCCCCTATGCCATCACAACCATCTTGCTGTTTTTATTGCACTATTGCACCCTTCCAGCTGCAGTGTAGACAATACCCCCCAAGTCTCCAGCTAGAGAGGGAGTGAAGCACGGTAGACCAGCATTCCTTCCCTAACCCCTTGCTGATCTTTGCATGTGAGCACCAGTGTTTCACAGAATGCAGTGCTCTCACCAAGGAGCCAGAGCTTCAAGGGCTCCCTAAATTCTGCTCTTCCCCCCCTTTTTCCTGGTCCAAAGATCTGAGAACACAGGAAGGATCAGGGTGTGATGAGGCTGAGTGGGCATTCTCTGGAGAGTAGAGTTACCTCTATTGGATCCCTTATGCCATAGGTAGAATTTTATTGATAACGTGGTATCCCTCATAACACCTGCCTTAATTAACTTTATTATTGTGTAATGCTAAGTGTGACATGGGAGCTGTATAAACTACTCTCACAGGTAACTGAGTTCATCCATCTTAAAAAGACTTGCAAGGTTTTATAGAGAAAGACAGGAAGGAAAACTCCCTTGCCTCCTTTACTTCTGTTGCTGCTTTGCCAGTATAGTAGACACCCAAGGCTAAAGGCAGTGTTTACTGTCTCCCAGCCAGGAAACAGCATTGCATCAGCAGCCTGCCAGGCTAGTAGTGACAAAAGCTTGATGTACTTTGGGACCCACTGTGACTTTGGTTTTTATAAATCCCGCTGTAAAAAATTAGATCATTTGGATACAAAGCTGCAGAGTGTTGAAAGAGCTGCTCCCACACGCAGGCCCAGCTTTAAGTCTAACGAGTTTTTAAAATTAAGTTAAAGTAGCTTCAGGTTTTATTCCTGCCCCTGAGTCCCCTAACCGGTTTTTGTGGTTTTACAATCACATTTTACAACTGGTTTTTCTCCCTTGGTGGTGGGTGGAGAAACCGACATAAATGAAAGGAAAATGACTGACCAGGCGCAGAGTCTGTTATGCGATCGCTAGCAGAGATTCTTGCACCTATGCTGAGCCTCATTCACTATACAGATGAAACAGTGAAACTGACGTGAAATGTTGTCGTATGCATTTGGGCCCAGATTTTGAAAGGTGTTCAGGTGTTATGTTCAGCGTTACAATGACTGATTTAGGACAGTAAATATTGTTTTCAAAAATCATTTAAGCACTTAGGAGCCTAAATCCCGTCAACTTTCCATACGATTTGGTCTCCTAAGTACCTACATCCTTTTAGAAAATGACATTTAAGCTCCTAAATCAGCTGATGTTGCAATGCTGAGTGCAGCAGTGCCTAAATATCTTCAAAAATCTGAACCTAAGTAATTAAACTGGGAAAAAGACACAGAGAAAAATGTATTTTCCCTAATATCTTTTATATATCCTTAATCATGGGTGTAATTTTAACCAGCACAAGGCCGAAAAGAATTTCAGACAGAAATGTGGTTTTTTTGTTGTTGTTTTTTTTAAAGTTGATGCTTGATAATAAAAAGGCTGAATTTTGCCATTGAATGAGTCTAGCTTAGAGGAAGAGGCCTGATGCAAAGCCCTAAGCCCAACCCTTAAAAATAAAGATTTGCATTGAAAAGTAGAGGGAATACTTCAGAATTCAGTGAAATAAAGGGAAAATATGCAGCTATTTAAAGGGGTTAAAATGTAATGTCCTGTGCCAGGGGTTCTTTTGTTCTGGGATGAGAATTTTTTCAAGGCAGCTAGTTGGAAGTGACTGTAAAAGAACCCACCTGCCCAGGTGAAGCACATCCCGCCGTTCTGGGAAGTCCTGAGTCCAAAGCGGTGCAAGAAATTTCAAGCTTGAGTGCGATATCACCCAGCAGTAATGGCACCGCGAAGAAATGCACCTTTGTCATTCTGAGCAAGCAGAAACCGAGGCTCATGTTGCCTTGCTTTGTTCAAGATGACGTTACTCTGCTGAATTTTCATGGCTGTAGTAACTGTTTTAATGCCAGTAAAATATAGGTTTGGCTGCCTCATTGAGTCACAGGAACGCTAGGAGACTAATTGCTAACATTGCAGCGCAGTGCTGCAGGGACCTTTACAACTTCCTGAAGCTGTAAAGGCTCAATGACAAAGCAAGTCCTTTTATGCCTTTTGGTTTTTTTTAATGGAACTCCTCTGTTCAAGCTAAATTGCTTTTAAATCATGTCTATAAAGGTACTTTTGTCAGGAAAGCCAGGAGGGCTCTTTTGTGCTTCCTCATTGCTTTCGGAGGGAGCCGCGGGAAGGGAGGCTGTCATTGCAGAGCATTGTCTTGCTTCCTGACTCAAATGTATGCCAGATCTGCCCTCCCATTGACATGCAGGCTATTTTGTGTCCACCCTTAGAAAGGCAGTAACCCATATAAATCTCCATGGCACTGATTGCAGATTTCACTTCTTAGTGGAATTGGAGGGTCTTAACAAACTGACTTATTTTCCCAACTTGATACAGAGCTCAAGAGAAGCAGCATTATTTAGAGGAATTGAGCAGGAGGTTGAGAGTCAGCACTCTTGGGTTCTGTTCTTGTCTCTGCCACAGACTCAACTTTGTGGCCTTGGGGGGCAAATCGCTTGAACTCTGGTTCTTCAGTTTTCTTTTCCATGAAATTCACCTACCTCCCAAGGAGCTGGAAGAAATTTAGTTTACAGATAATACTTAGGGTCCAATCTTCAACTGTAACTGGAGTGCTCAAAGTCAGCCTTTTATTCCTGTACTGGCCAAAAATAAAATCAGAGCCCTTTTTTTTAACTTTGGAATTGAGTGCATATGCTTGTGTGAATAATCAGTATTGATGTTACTCTGAGCTTCATGCTCTCAGTAGGATGTATTATGTGTTGTCTTGCCTGGTTACCCGAACCTAAACGAGGGGGTTGGTTTGTTTTATTGTGCAGTGTCAAAAAAACACGGCAAGCTCATCACTTTCCTACGAACATTCATGAAGTCGCGCCCAACGAAACAGAAACTGAAGCAACGCGGGATCCTGAAAGAGAGGGTGTTCGGCTGCGACCTGGGAGAGCATCTCCTCAACTCCGGCCATGATGGTAAGAGAGAAACTCCTGAGTTCCTCATTCATACTGATGCTTGGGGCTTGTTTAAAGGGTGATTTTTATCATGGTGGTTTAGTACCTTCACGGGGAGAAAATACCTGTTCAGTTCCCAAGGACTGTTAAATATAGCAGCTAATGGCAGAACAAGAACCAATGGCTGGAAGTTGAAGTCTGACAAAATCAAATTAGAAATAAGGTGCCCTTTTTTAACTGAGGATAAATAGCCATTGGGACACACTGGCAAGGGGAGCGATAGATTCTTCTACTCTTGAAGTCTTCACATTAAGCCTTTATGGAAAATACACTTTAGTTGAACGTAAAGTATTGGGCTCAACACAGGAGTAGGGGGATGAAGATCCATGGCCTGTGTTACAGGAGGTCAGACTTGATGTAACAATCGGTTCTGACCTTACAGCCTCTGAATCCATGGGACCTGATTCTCTTTTCATGCCTGTGAAGGTGAGGTGAACCTGGAGTCAGTGGAGTTACATTGTTATGAACGAGCTAAAACTAGGCTCCCAGTTATTGCAATGTATTTGTTCATGGCAATGTCCCTGATGTGCTAGACACTTTCCAGCAAGGACAGTCCTTGCCACAAGAAGCTCGCAGTCTACGGAGAGACAGACAAGTAAACAGAGGATGGGAAAGGGTAACCACAAACAGATTGTTTGTTTTTTATACAAGTCAGAATCCCTGTAGGCAAATGGTAGAGAGGATTAGGAAATAGACTTGGGAAGAATAAGTGGCATTACAGTGTATCTGATTTCTAATGCCTGTGGTGTTCTAATTTCCTATCAGTATCTCTATCCATTATCTTTACATGATTCCAGCTCAGTCTGCAAACTGGAGTCTTTCCATCTGCCTTTCCCCCAGTCCCATAAAATACACGGTGTACAGGATCTAGTTGGATTTTACTTTTGACTTTAGAATTTTGCTTCTCTCAAGTCTGTGACAAGCCCATTGCTCCTCCCCCTCCCTTGTCTCCCCAACAGCTACTAAAACAAAGTGTCAGGGAAGGGGTGTCCAGTCCAGGAAAAAGCCCCACCTACTATTTCTCTTCTTAGGATAGGTTTGTTGGATATGATCTGCTCTCTCATCTCACAGTGACACCTCTGATCAGAGGCTGGTGAATCAGGGAGGCACCAGAACTGCTGATGACCAAGCCAGAGAGGGGGAGCTACTCAAACGGATTCTTTCACAGTTCAGTACTAGTCGGAAGTCGTTCACGTACACATTCCTTTCTGGTGATGGCTGTTTAGGAGAGCAGCAGACCAGTATGTAGCAGAGCAGCCAGAGAACCAAGCCGTTAAGGGCATCAGGAAGGTAGCAAGGGATACAGCATCATTTCCAGCTATCTCAGTTTTTGTTTCCTTCATATTTTTCCTCTTGCCTAACCAAATAGATGGTGAATCTGGGCAAGTGGCTGACATCATATGTCAAAGTCCATACTGCCATGTCTTACAGCTTTTGCCTTGAGGCTGAAGGACAAGGGGGGTTTCTCTGCTGAGTTTACTCCAGTTGTACTTTAGACTCTTTGCTCGTACAGATGGCTTGAAGGGTAGAGGCTGGTGGAGGGCAAGCTATGTGTTGCCTTAAATGATTCCATTTGGGGAACAGCAGAGTTTAATCTTGTCTCTGTCAGTTTTTACTGCCAGTTTTGGTGGACAGCATCAAATTGTACGTGTGAAATCAGGACTGTGCCAAAGCTCATTGGTTCGTTAATTGGAGCCAGTGAAGGTCGTTATAACTGGGTCTGGAAAAGTCTGAGAGAGCCAGAAACCGGATGGTTTGGAAGCAGAAACTGTACTAATGTCCCATTTAAGAAATGGATCCAGGATGGCTAGTTTACGCCACCTTGTTGCTGTAGAATACTTTATTTTATCTCCAAGTTGGAGAAATCAAGGCGATCAAAAGGCACGCAGAGAGCATGAGCTCGTGACTGGGCAAAGCAGGAATTCTGTTTAATCCCCAAAGTCCCCTCTTGTTCACTTGAGTTGGGCAAGACTGAAGATGATTTATTAAGTTTCATAAGAGACAAGGGGCAGATCCTCAGCTGGAGTAAATTGTAAGAGCTCCAGTGATGGTTCATCTGTGAGAATTGACACCATCTCAAGACCTGCCCCCAGGTTTTTGAAAAAAAAACCACGGCACACTCCTCCATGATTATGGCTGTGCTGCGTTAGTGAGGTCTCTTCATTTATGCAGTTTCCAGTTCTTTTCAGCCTGGACTTAATAACTCTTTCACAACTCCCTGGAGCAAAGCAGATCCAATCGGGATGTTGCTAACAGGGGCACATCTCCATTTCTCACAGCAGGGTTGGTTTTTTTCTGTGTGATTCAGCTCCCTGACCCGTATTCCAAATGAGGTAATTCTAGGGATTAGTTTTGCAGAGACATTTTTGTGTTCTGGTGAATCAAACTATGCATACGCACAGACAGCATTTTAAGTACCCCTCGTTCTGAAGCGTTAGATAACTCGGTCTCAGAGCAAATTGCTAAGCAGAACTGGTTGATCTGCTTAAAGCGGGAATTGAGATATCACATGAGAACCTAGATGGGTAAGAGCGTGGACACAGTAATATCCTTTCATCTGTGAGATCAGACGATAGCTCAAAAATGTTTTCAGAGTAGCTGCTACCCTGCAGTACTTCATACGTGTGTGGGTTTTAGCTGATGAGACGGCAAGGGACTTGTTTACATGCAGAAAGCATTTGATGGTGTCTCAATTCACACACCAAAAAATATCATTTTCGTTACCCAAAAGTGTCTGCATGGCTTAAGCAAAAAGTTTTGGGACAAAATATCTTCAAAACAGGCTACAGCACATTCACATGCTCTCCAGGAGTGCAGAATTGAGCTGCTGCTGTGCTCTGCATGTTGAGAATTGTAGAGTCGCTGCTGCTCAGCTGACGAGGCCTTGACTTTCAAGAATTTATCTTGGGACAATCTGAGCAGTTCCAATCCCATGCCTCTGAGATGCTGCAGGCTGCCCTTTGTATAGGTGGGTCCTATTTTATTTACAACACCCAGAAATGTGCTAAATGCTTTGGGCAGGTCCACACTGGGGCGGGGGATCGATCTAGGAAACGCAACTTCAGCTACGAGAATAGTGTAGCTGAAGTCGACGTTTCCTAGATCGAACTAAGTTTACTTACTGCGGGTCCACGCGGCGCAGGCAAGCTCCCCCGTCGACAGCACTTCCTCCTCTCGGTGAGCAGGAGTTCCGCAGTCGACGGGGGAGCGCTTCTGGGATCGATCTATCGCGTCCAGATGAGACGCGATAAATCGATCCCAGAAGATCGATCTCTACCCGCCGAATTGGGTGGGTAGTGTGGACCAGCCCTTTGTAGTATAAGGAAAAGTTAAATTGGCAATCTGCTGTCCTGATCCTGCAAACACTTGAGTTACTTTCCTCATGTAAGTAGTTCCTTTGAATCCAGTGAGACTGCTTACATGATTAAGTGTAAGTATTTGCAGTCCTGGGCCTTAGTTTTTTGACATGGGATGATGAGTGAGAGTAACAGACAGACAAAGAGGAGCAAAGGGTAAGGAAGATGAAGGTTGCAATAGATTACTTGGTTTAGGGAATGGTCACATCTTGATGGTGCGTGTACTTAGTGTTTTAAGCTTTAATAAGCTTTAATATTAAACGGTAAACCTTGGTATATATTGAGCATAGCCAGTGCAGATGGCTGTGTTTTTATTAATGAAAGTCTAGAGTACAACTGGTATAGGGTAGTGGTGGTATAAAGCATTTTTATAGCAGCATCAGTTTATAAAGGAGTTTGCAAACAGGTGAAACACATTACCTGCCACAAAGAATTTACAGTCTAAATGAGGCAAAGAAAAGGGTGGAAGTGTGGTTCAGTGAATAGGGCACTGGACTGGACTGGGGGTCAGAAGACCTGGGTTCTGTTCCCAGGTCTGCTATAACCTTTGGCAAGTCTTTTCATTTCTCTGCCTCAGTTTCCTCTATCTCTAATTATATTTACCTTCTTTGGTAAATTGGTTTGAGATCTATAACGAAGAAGTGCTGTGTAAGAAGAGTTAAACATCTTATTATTAGACAAGTCGTAGGACAACAGACCAGCTGTGGAATGACCAGAGTTATCTACTCACAAACTTGTGGTCCCATGTGCGCTGGAAGAATGTACACTGGAAGAATACCGGTCTGTCCACCATCTCTACATTTGAGACCAGCAACGATGCTTTAGCAGATTTCCCTAGATTTAGGGCACAGAGTTCTCAAAAGAGAGCTCTTGAGTCTGCCAGTTTTTCTTGTTGGCATGACAGAACCTGTGTGTGTCACCCTTCAGGGCATAATCCATCTATTTACTCTGACTTCTTTTTAAGGGAGGTGTCTGTGTAGTGAGCGTCTGTTGCAGTTGGGTGGGGTCAGTCATTGGTTGTTGTTGACTTTATCGGTTTGGTATATGGCTGCAATTTGTTGTTCTTGTATAATTGGGTTTGGGCCAGCAGGTTACACTGCACGCTATTTGGGCAAATTGCAGGGGGGAGGGAGAGAAATAAAAATATAATGTTTGTAATAGTGGCAACAGAGGAATATTTTAATATTGAAATAATCTGTCCCCCGTGAATGACAAATGAGTGCTAGTAATTGTATGGGAGACAAGGTCCTGTTTGTTTATCTGTTTTTTGTTAGCACTAGACGGGTCAACCAGTATTAGGACTCCTTTATGGTAGGTGCTGTACATACACTTAGTGAGAGACAGCCCCTGCCCCAAAGTGCTTGTCTAACGAAATAGGCAAGAGAGACAAAAGGTGGGAAATGAACATAATTTGTTTTATGTTCACGTTTTTGTAAAGGGAAATCAGACCTCACCAATCTACAACAATTCTTTGAGGGGGTCAACATGTGGACAAGGGGGATCCAGTGGATCTGGTGTATTTAGATTTTCAGAAAGCCTTTGGCAAAGTCCCTCACCAAAGGCTCTTAAGCAAAGTAATCTGTCATGGGATAAGAGGGAAGGTCC